CTTAAAAAAAAATTTAGACCCGATATCTTTAAGCTAGCTAGAGATCTCTTTGATCTCTTATGCCTATGATTAGTACCCTGAATAATTTTTTCTTTACAACCCTTTGAACCTTAAATCTAATTTCTCCTTACAATATCAATATCACCCTTGAATCACACATTGAGGTCATGAGAATAAACAAAATGATCACCAACCTAAGAAGTTCTTGATTCTTGGACAAATTCTCCTTTTCGACACTTTTGTAAATGTATAGAGAACAGAATAGAGAATATCCATACTGATATTAGGTTGTAAAGGGTGAATGTGTCATCTGTGAAGGATTAAGTTTTTTTTTTTTTGACACAGATTGAATAATTAATATGTAGGCTGATTGACACTGATTTCATTTCAGAAACCCATGAGTTAGTTAGCTGGATGAAAGGCCAGGACTCGGCAATCCAAAATATATCAGTTCATGCATCAGGCCGCTATGCAGTCACTTCATCCAACTCTGTTGCTCAGTTGTGGGACTTGGATACATTTTCCCGTAAGAGGACTTTAAATGGAGCTCAAACTGTTGGAATTCAGCAGGTTCGAATTAACATGAAGTGGTATTCAATCCAACTCCAAGAGATGTTCATGTTTTAGCCCTTTCATATCCAAGATCTTAGTTATTCCATGCCCTTTTTGTCATTCTGTGCTAATAATTTTAGATCTAAGGATTTGGTGGTCAATCAAACACTTTCCCCCACGATGACATTTTGTCACTTTCCATCACCTCCCTGCTTGAAAATTACTGTACAATGGCAGTGAAATTATTGATTGAAAGGAGTAGATAGATGACTAATTAACTTGTGGACCGGGAGAGAAGAATTTAGAGAACACTTTGCTTAAATCTATACCAAAAAGACTTTAAAAATGTCTTAATTTTTTTTTTCATTTTGTTGGCTAGACATTGCTTTTATGTTGTGACTCATGCTTACTTTTACATATAAGCTAATAAGGTTGACATGCCTACCTTAAGGTAAACATTTGTATTCTTTACCTGTGGCATCCTTTAAAAGCAATGTATCTGGTCAAATTTTTATTTGATTTTAGACAAGCATGGAATACATTTACCTTCCCTTCCCTACATGTATTGTTGTTGAATAGATTACAGTAACTTGGTGAGAATTTGGTTGTTAGTCAATAGCAAGGTTCATTTTGATTCTAATGTGTCAGTTTTAATATGTTTTCAAATATTATAAATTTAGGTTTTGTTCCTGCCTCTGAGCAATACCATGATAACTTGTTTCAAAGATGACAGTTTATTTGTATGGGATTCAGAAACACTCAAGTGTAAATTCCAGCTTCCTGTTCCTCCTGAAGACACTAAACAGCCCCATTACAAAGCATTAGCCACACCCAGGGATGGCAGGTTACTTGTTGCAGGGGGAAGGTGAGTCTGCTCTCAAAATCTTTCTCAAATATACAGTTATGCTTTTCAATTTATTACTATAAGAAATACCAAATTTTAGGCATATTCCTCTACCTGATTGATTCTGTAATTTACACTAGTCTTGTTGCAACTGACTCAGTTTGAATGAAAAGTTATTTTTTGTTTTATTTGCATTATTGATCTTACTTTTCCTGTCTTCCTTTTCAATCTGGCTCAGACCAATGGCAGTAGCTTGATTTCTTTGAAATTTACTTTCTGCTTAATTTTTTTTCTTTATCTTTTTTTTTATCAGGTCTCGATTCCTTCACGTGTGGAGTCTGGAGAACAAACGTCTGCTCCATGTCATTCAGCTTCCAGCAAAAGTACGTCTTGTCAGACAACTGGAATTCATTAGTAACAGCTTTGATGGAGGTAGCAGTCAGGTATCAATCCATGGAGAGCTTTTCATGTTGCTTAAGTTCCTATAAAGTCAATCCATTCAACTATGGAATTAGGAGCCCTGAAAGAGTTTGGTGATTAGTGTTATCTTATGTGGCAATACAGGCCATTGCTGGATTAGCAACTTCTTTCAGTAATCAATAATTGTCTAATAATGACATATTACAATTCTTATGTAGGTTATGAGCTTAAGATTTCTATCACATGATGGCTGATGAGGGCAAAGTCCAAATCATCTATCAAGGGCAAACAATGTTTTTGCTTAAATCTTCCCGTAGTTGAGAAGTTAGCAATTGGACAGGTTCATTTTTTTATTCAAAAATTTTTTACAACGCTACTACACACTGCTAGGCAACTCATGTAACTCTATATCTAAGTATGGAATAGATGGCAAATAACTTAGCCAATCAGGTTGCAGCTTTTGTGATGCAATGCTACAAGCTGTAGTAGATTTTTACTTACCACAACTGTTACAATTAAATGAAAAAAACTTTTTGAGATTTTTTATATAAGAAATGCCAGCATGGGCAAGTCAAGTGAATAAATTACACTGTATGTCTCAATATTGCAAATACATGTTACAGTAATTTTTCAGTGGCCTTTCCTTTGTTAGACTTTGTCATGTTAACTTGAGTTTCCTAATGAACACCTCCTTAAAAACATATTTATATCAGACATCGTTTAAAAGTGTTTCTGCTCATTTTCAAGACACTTGGTGTGCTTTCCCAAGATGGTGTTCTTCGCTTCATTGATATTCATGCCTGTAAACAGCTTTTTGAGATTGGAGGTGCAGATGAGGTAATAAGAAAGATTCATAATATGTTCACAGTGGTTAGCCCTGTCCAGTCCAGTCCATTCTCATATTCAGTGACTGAACATGTTTATGTAAACTTAAGAGGCCCTTCACAGTATCCAAGCAAAATAAATAAAATTGTATTATTAGCTTAACCCTCAAAGCATTAGAGGTATCTCAGACAGACACAAAAATTTCTAGACTTTTTTCCATTTCTTACAGATTATTAACAACTTTAGTATCAGTTCAAATGGCCGATACATTGCAGCTGTAATGGACAATGGTAACATCAATGTTTATAGTGTTCCAGCACTGTCACAGCAGTTTTCCAAGGTATTTTCAAAGACAGTTAAAATTATATTTCATTTCTGTATCATCAATCAATATTCGGTTACATGTAGATATTAAGTTTTCCTTAACTCTTGGGAGATGCGGTGTTCCACAGCTTTTCCATGGGTCATTCTGTTTTGTTCTCCTGTAAGCCTCTTCACTCTCTTTGATTTTCTCTTTATTATGAAACACATTATGTATAAAAACGCCAACAATAAACTTTAACCCTTAAACTCCCGAGATCTGATTGTTCACTCTCTCCTCTAGCTGCTACACATTTCCTTGTAAATTAGTTACAAGAATTTGGTGTTAGGTCAAGGTGACAACCCCTTCCTGATGAGTTTGAGTTTTCTCATTACCTATTTGCTGGATAATGTATGGATATTAGAGGGAGAAGTTACTTGTTAATCACTTCTGGGAGTTAAAGGGCCAAGAGAGACTTGATGAATTGCTGGGAATGGAAAACCTGAGAAGGAAAGGCATCTCATCCAAAAGGAAATGCATCACAGCTAGTTACTTAATGCTAAAGAGAGCAGTAGGTCTCTAGGTCTGTAAAATTCAACCTTGACTAAAATAATGTCGCTCTTGCGCATGTCTAGGTTTGCGCACGTCTAGGTTTGCGCACGTCTAGGTTTGCGCACATACGGCACTTTTAATACTGATATTACAGTGAAGAGCTTGAGACTGCCCTGCAAATTGGAGTTTTAGCATCCTACATGTACATATTTATCCAATGATTACATTCTCAGTCATTTTTTCTTTAACAGCCACCCCCACCATTGGTTAAAACTGTGTGGGAAGAGAGATCACATTCACGTCAAAGTGGCAAATCCAATCAGTCACTAGGCAGTGCCATGACTAAAGTTGGTGGAACACCAAAAAGGAGTAAGACTAGATCACCAGTAAAATCACAGCGTCAAAAAACCGAGGTGTCTGCAACTTGGACCAGTATAGACACGGAACTTGAGGTACAACTGTTTTTCTTGATTCTGGTAGTTGCCGTCCGTGTTGTAGTTGGTCGTTAACATATTGCTAGACTAGTGGTCAATTTGTGAATAAAAAATTGACTGCTTTTCACAATTGTGCATAAATCTTGCTATAGACGGAACTTCCAGAAGGTCTCAATCAAGCAAGGCTCAAGTCGATTCTTCGAGGCTATGGCGAATATCCTGCTAAATACAGGTGAGTTTTCTAAATGCCAAATGAGTATTACGGGAAAGCAGAATTCATTTTTGAAAAATTCAAACGAATCTTATCATTCCGAAAAAAAAAAAAAAAACTGATGATGTGATGGTCATAGAATGTGAAGGTTCAAGAGTGTTTGCGGTTGTGATCTTTACCTTGCAGAATATATAGGCGCCATTTTTGTGTATTAAGGTGAACGCGAATCTCTCTCGTATCGCACTGGACTACCTCTTTGTGCTCTTGTCCTCGTTCTCGCCTAGCTCGTATTTGCCCTCGCTAGCATGAAAACTTAAAATGACGCCTGTTGTGCAGGCTAATGATAATATACCTTCATGTACCAGTCAAACTCTACACTGACTAAACTCGTGGAAAATTTTTAATTTTGAATAAAACTTAAAAACTTGGCACTTTTCTATAGATATAAATGTAATATTTTGGTATTTTTAACCCTCCTTAGAATGTTCATTTGGCGGTCACTTCTCAACCTCCCTGAGAACCATGCGGCTTACAGCAGCTTGGTAGACAAAGGAACTCATAATGCTTTCGTGAGAATCCATGAAGAGTATCCCATCAAGAGTAGAAAGCTATTGAGAGTCCTTCAGAGGTTGGTATCAACTAGCAATTTCGATGTAGTCCCTCTGAAGGTTGTGACATCTTGGAGAGATTGGCACAAACCCTGTCCTCCACTCGGACTCAAACACATGCCACTTGAATGAGAGCGGCAAGTTTGGCACCAATCATGACTTGAGTAACATGGCGTGCATGATTTTTCTCGCCTTATTTAACAAACTTCAATTAAGTCTTTGTTTCTTTCCTTTTTTTTAAATAAAAAAAATTTCAAACACTAAGTTACTTTTTTTTAAGCGACACCCTTTATGCTGCAGCAAAATCACGTGACAAGAAGAACCTCTCTCTCTCTCGTATTTCTTTTGTGATTTCGTTTTAGGACGCTGTCGGCCCTAGCTCATTGGTCAGCCATATTTGGAGAAGTAGACTACCTGTCTCTGCTTTCCTTTCCTTTCGTTAAACTCTTTCAAAACAACCAGCTGATCTGTTTTGAGATGATAGCAACCATCCTGAGTAAGTAACGTTATGAAATTTGAAGCTGTGACGAGAGTTTCTTGAAAATGGCGCGATGCATCGGAAACTCGATCTCCCTTACAAGAGCACCCATGTAGCAATTTTGCGACTTTCTGCTCAAGCAGATGGTCACTAACAAGGAAGCAAACCTGATGTTTTCAACGTTTGTGCTCGTTAAGTTACAGCTTAAAATGTGGCTGAGCTTCTTCGATATTTGTTTTGAAGTTTTCTTTCTTTTCCTTCAGCAAACTGGTGCCAACATTGGTTCGAATTTTTTCCAAACCCTCCTGTGAATATTCTTGGGATGGTGGAAAATATACTGGTTCATCACGATAAAAGATTGATGCAACATTTTGTCAGCTGTAATGTCACATCACAGGTGAGATATGCTAGTTTTGCTTGCCAGTCATTTCTAACCGAGACGAGCGGTGAAAGATAATTCATCTGAGCCCATGTTTTCCAACCTTATCCGTGCAAAGAAACGTGCAAAAATATCATTTGCACTGTTTACTCTGATTCGGTCTGTATATCGGTGGTCGGTCGAAAGTCAACCAATTTTCGGCCGACAGGCAACCAATAGGAGGTGGTCCATAATTCGGTTGAGATAGCGGCCGACTATCGGAACATCGAGACACTTGCTGCCTGTGGTCGACAATGGAACCACAACCAATCAACTACTGACCAACTCTCGACCGACATATCAATCTGTTATCAATAGATATGACGACCGAGGTTACCTGCAGCACTTATGATCCAGAAACACTAAGCATCATTACGCCATGCTCGCAAGACCTATTTGTGAATTTTCACAGGTACCGACTTCCTTTTTCGATTGGATGATAAATATCGACAAATTTCGTCAACTGTCGAAACAAAATGCTATCGAACGTGGCTGAAACGGCGAACTTTGCAGTTCAACTGAATAACAAATGTGAACTACAGTAGGTACTAATCCCAAAGTCGTCTGTTTCAGATGTATGCCTGGCCATTGTTACAGACGCTCTTATCTGAAGTTCTAACCAAGGACGAGTGGTTGAGAGCTTGGGATAACATTTTTTCCAATCATCCGTCATTCCTTCTCTTTGTTGTGGTAGCTTATGTCATCGTGTCACGCAAAGCTCTTTTGCAATGCACGAGGAAAGAGGATTTTGAGGTTTGAAAATAACAAAACATGTTTGTTAGACTTGACCTTTTGGCCCCGATAATCGACTGGAATTGACCTGAATTCTCCTTTCATTTTTGATGCACTGTCAAGCAGACAAGTATTGAAAAAGAGGGAAGTTATCAATGAGGGGATATGGTCTTGATATAACACCAAATTCTCAGGACCAGCTAACTAAGAAATGTATGAAAAATAACTCCCAAATATTTGGAGGGAAGGGTTGAAGAGAATCTCATAAGCAATTCCATTAAACTCAGACAAATCTTTCGTCTCAATCTAAGTGTCAAACTTCAGCTTTCGTTTCCTAAGCTGCATCGAAACGGCAGAAAAAAAGACGGCACACTTCCTTTATACAAGGGATTTTTAAAAATCTGTTATCAACGCTGGGTGATGTACTAATATTCGTTGCCATGGACGCCCCCAGCGAACAGACCCAAGTGTTTTGCCTAAGAATCGACAGAATAATTTGCACAAAGTAGGAATGAAATTGTACTAATTCTGTAGATATTCCTGTGCAAATGTGTAATGGATAATATTTTCTCCTGACCAGTACTTCTTTCATAACCGGAATGCAGTCGACATTAGTGCAGTTGTACGTGAAGCTTACCGACTGCAGGACGGCACTCCAGCAGAAGCAAACCCCCAGAGGATGCTGGAGCCATTCATGCCACTGACCAAAGGACAATATCCGATCTTCAACAAATATCCAAAGTTTATTGTGGATTATCAGGTAAATACTGGTATCAACCAACCCTACCAGTGGCAGATCTAGGGGAGGGGTCT